GTAGTGGTACCGGCTCATCCGTCACTGATGGGGGCTCTGACTCCAGCTACCACCCCCAGCATGGACCCTAGTGCTGGGACTGCGCATATTCCAGTCCCAAGCCTGGGGTACAGATCCAGGGCATTTCAGGGGTGCCTGGGAGTACTGTGGGGTGCCGAGGGTGCAGTCTCACTCTGGCCTGCCAGCCTATTACCAGGGCTGCCTGTCCCTTCCTGAGGTCCTGCTCCATCTAGGTGGCCTCTGTTTAGGCCTCAGACATGACCACGACCCTCCCTGCATTCACCATCTGGGTATGGAGCCACCTCCATCAGAAGGCTAAATTGTCCCTCCTCGTGGTGGGTCTTAAATCATTGCCCCATTGGTGGCTGCCCTGGCCCAGTGTGAGGCAGGTTCTTCAGTGGGCATGGAGCTAGGGGTCTGGGCAGGGGGGGAGGGAGCTGCTGCATCAGAGGACATGGACCTAGTAATGAGGGAGCTGGCCTATAAGCGGCAGAGTGTTGCACCCTAGGGTCGCCCTGACATCGCCTGGCTTGGGCAGTGACAGCTGTGAGACTGGTAGCCTTCCTCCACCTGGGGGATCTCACTCTGCACTGGCCACTGTGGAGGAGGCCCCAGGAGAGGTTGGAGTGTAGGGGCAGATCAGAGCTGGCACTGCTGTGGCCTGGCTGTGCCCTGGTGGACGTGGGAGGTGTGTCCTGAGACCCATGTGCCCTCTGTGGGCCCAGCCTCCAGGGATCCCAGGCCATGGGGACAGGCTCAGGGCAGGAGTAGGGAAAGCAGTGACTCCTGATGTGCAGAATCCCCAAGAGAGGTGGCCGCACTAGTCCCTCCCAGCTGCCCTGGCTCAGTGCTGTCAGCCAATGTCGGGAACAGGCCAGAGGGCCTCTTCTAGGTGAGACAGGCACAGCATGGCATGCAGCCAAGCTGGACTGCCAGAGGGTGGGGCCCCACAGGCAGGAAAAGAGGCTGTTGAAGGGGGTGGCCCATGCATGTGTTGAGGGGTTCGACTTGAGACCACCAGAAGTAGGGAGCTTTCAGTTGAGGGTTTCGTGAATGGGCTTGGGATTTGAGAAGCACACCTTGGCAGTTTGTGGGTAGGTGAGTCAGGGAGCTGTACTAGGAGCCAGGGTGGAGCCTCTCGGGAACCTATGGCCTGTCCTACCCGCCTGCAGGACCCTCGAGTGTCCTGAACACCACCCTCATCCACACAGCAGCCGCTTCATCACCAGACAAGGTCTGTTGTACAACCTGCCACCTCCTGCACCTGCCAGCCTCAGCCCTTGGCCACCTTGCCTCGTTGTCATCTGGACATACAGAGGCCAACAGCCCAAAGGATGTCAGTCATACATAGGATGGGTCCCACACTCCCTCCTCCCCAAGCCTTGGTTGGCTGCTGATGAGCTCTTCCAGGGACCTTTTACTGCCCCCTCAAGCCCCATCCTGTCCCTCGGCTGGCCCCAGGGCCTTTGCAATGGCAGATCCTGCGTTCCCCAGAAGCCTGCTTGTCGGTGACCATCACCTCTCACCCCTAGGGAGACAGGCCCTGGCCACCCTGACTGACTTACAGCCTTACCCTTCCTGTACCCAGCAGCTCTGCCATCTGGAGCTCCAGCACCTTTTGTCACTTACTGTTTGACTCTAGCCCTGCCTACCAGAGAGGACGGACACGGGGTCCTGGCTGTATCATCACGTCCCTTAGCATTGCTCTGCTCCCCAGGCTCCCAGCTCCAAGCATGGCTCGGCTGCTGACTCACTTCCCCTAAGCCCTACTCCACATCACAGTAACTCTTCTGTCCACAGGCCCCTCTGTGCCCAGGACACGTCACACAGCGATACACAGGCCCACACTGCAGGACACACACAGCTGCATGCGGCACTAAGGTGTGCCCGCAGACATGGGCAGAGGCACACACCCCGTCCTACTTAGATTGGCACCCAGAGCTGGATGGCCCCGTGTGCTGTTCTGGGTAGGGACCCAAATGAAAGGGGTGCTGTGAAGAAGCAATATGCCCTTGAATGTGACCACTGGTCCCCAGCCTGTGAAGACAACACTTGGCCTGGACACGGTTTCTCCTTTACCCCGTGATGCCCTGTGGCACACACCATGTAAGGACCACATGGCCAGCCTGGGGCTTCCAGTGAGCAGCAGTTGAGGCTCTAGGATGCCTGTGCTCCACCCTAGCCTGCTCCTGATACTCAGAGGCCCAGCCTGCTCCTCGGTGCCCATGACAGAGTACCCCCTTCCCCACCACCCCATGGGACCAATGCCTGGGCAGATATGGCTCAGCATCCCTGGCTGTGTGGAGTGGACCTGTGCCTATCCTGGCAAGGCCCCCAAGCCCCTGTCTTGGGGAGCCAGGACCTGGGTAGGAGCAGTCATGCACTGCCCTGCTGAGGAGTAGCCAAAAAAACTGCCCCAAGGATCCTCCTCCAACTGTCCATGCAGTCCTAGAGCTCCCATGCCACCCACCTGGACTAGACCATGTCCTGAGAGGTGTCCGGAGGCAATGGGGAAGGAACTGACCCTGGGTGATCACTGACCCACAGTGTAAATCACTGAACTGGGGAGAAATGTTGCTAACAACAGGGGCTGCAGTGGCCTTGCCAGGTGACAGCGCTGGCCGGCAAGGCCCTGGGGCCCCAATGGCAGCTGCAGTACAGGGCACATCCCAGGCCAGGCTGAGGATTGGGACACCTTCTGTCACCGGCAAGGACGAGGGGACAGTGACAGTGTCCCTCGCTCACACGTAGGCAGCCCACAACACAAGCAGGCCCAGGGCATACAGAGCAACCAGGCCCCACTGGGGCCATAACGTGGCTCCCAGAAACGTAAGAGACAGCCAGATGCCCACACATGAAATCTCCCGTGATTTCACAACTCCGTGCCACCCGGGGAACGGCTTCCGGATCTCTGCCTGCAGGCCAGCCCATGTGCCAGTGTCATGTGCATGTCTGTATGTGCATGTGCACATACAATGCACATGGCTCCCAGTCTTTTGGGATTTGGGCTGCAGCACCCGTGCATCGCCTCAGGTTCCCAGCAGACATCGCCAGGCCATCCCCTGCTGCACCTCTCTTCTCCATGCTTTCCCTCCCTTGGAGGTCCAGAAAAAGGGACAGAGTTCCCTAAGCTTGCCAGGGCTGCAGCTTGCACTCCTGTGCCCCCTCTGTGCATGGACACTGTGGCAGGAGGTGACATCAGCATGAGGTCACATAGGTCACACTGTGGAGAAGCGACTGGGAGAGGCCAGGGAGGAAGAGGTGTGGGGACAATGGTACAGACCCCCATGACTGGTAAGGGACAGGGCTGGGCCAGGGTCTGGAAAGGTCCCAGAACAATAGGAGCATGAGGTTTGGCTGAGGAGTGCTGTCAGGAGCCCCACTGCTGGAGGTAACTGGGCTCGCAGAGACTTGCGGATGCTATGGGTAGAAATCTGTGGTAGTTGTGGAGCAGGGCCTGGAGCAGCACGCATCCAGGAGCAGGTCAGGTTCTAGACAGGGTCGCACCTGCTGTGGAGATGAAGGGAGGCCCTTAGCTGCCTTGGGCCCTTGTACCCTAGCCTGGCAGAGGCTCACCAGGGAGGTGAATGCTGGGCTCCAGAGAGCAGCCAGGCAGGGACAGAGTTGAGTATAGAGCAGGTGGGGCCAGTGTGGTGGTGCTATGGGGTAAGCTTCCCCTTGCAACAGCGGCCTCTGATATTGGAGTGTAAGTTAGAGTCCTGGCTGCTTGGCAAATGTGCCTGGGAAAGCAGTGGAGGATGTGCCAAATACCTGGGTCCCTGCACACACATGGGAGACCAGGATGCAGTTCCTGGCTCCTGGCTTTGGCCTGGCCCACACCTGGCTGTTGAAAGAACATTTAAGGAGTGAACCGAAAGATGAAGGATCCCCTTCTGTTTCTCTCGCTCTCTTCACTCTGTCATTCTAATTACTTAGCTGATTAATCTTTTAAAAAGAAAAAGGTACATGAGGGCAGGAGCCAGGCAGAAGGTTGCGCTCTGAGTGGACTGGCCTCATTCCCTGAGAGGTCATGGGAATATCCAGGGGTGTGCCTTACCCTCTGCTGCCCAACAAGTGGCCAGGTGTAGCCATAGCTAGTCCTCACTGATGGCCAGGCAGCCCCTGAGCCTGCCTGCCTTGCTCTACACTCAGTGACAGCCCCACCTCTGGGAGCCACTCCATCCTCTCCTGCCTTCACCTCACCAAGGTGTCCCACGCCTGGCCCCTGCCTCAGTGCCAACCTTCCCCACTTGATCCTACCAGGAACAAGGTACCTATTCATACCATAACCTGACCCTGAGCTACTGGCTACTCTGCACCCTGTTGTGCCCCAACAGCCTACAGCACCCCTCCCAGTCCTTGTGTTGCACCCTGCCAGCTGCCCCTTCCTGGGGTCCCTGCCCTGCCCCACGGAAAGGCAACATCTTGGCTCCTGCAAGAAGTGGCAAGCATTCTGGAAGCACCCAGTCACGTTGGGTCTGGTCATAGGGGCCCCAGCCTCCTCCCAGCAGGACCACAGCCAGCACCCTCAGAGGACAGGTCTCAGGGGCGGCTCCCTGGCAGCTCACCTGACTGAATCCCAGCCAGGGTCAAGGCCAGAGGCTCAGTGAAGGTGGAGCCAGCCCAGTGAGGTGGATAAGGAAAGAGCAGGGAGGTGAGCCTGGCACCCCGTGGCCACACGCCTCACACCCTTGTTCCTCTCACTTGCTCCTGGCCACAGGTGCGCTAGGCCAGCCAGGAGGGCAGCAGGGTGAGGTGGTGGTGGCAGTAGTGGTGGCGGCTGTGGCAGCCAGGCATGTTTGTTTTGCTGTGATTTGGACACCAACCCTGCCACGCTCCACAGGAGCAGGGAGTTGATGAATTGCTCCCGGCTGGTTTTCTGAGCCGACCTGGGCTGCTGTTTTCCACCTTCCCTAAGTGCCCCCTTTCCCGTTCAGACCCAGGTGGGGCTGCAGGGAGAAAGGGGGTGGGCGACTCACACTGTTTTCTGTGTTTGGCAGGTGAAGGGACCGGATGCGTGGCCAGGCGCCCGAGGCAGGGGGGCCACAGGGAGTGCACGCCCTCCAGCCGCGCTTAGCAGCATCGCCACAGCAACCAGCAGGCAGACGGCAGCAGCCTAGGCAGGCGCTCAGGGGCCAGCATTCCCCCACCCCGGCAGCGACAGTGGCAGTGGCAGTGGCGGCCAAGCACAGGGAATGACTGCTACAAATCAGGCCACGTTGCTGCCCAGGGAGGTGGAGTGGCGCTAGAAAGGAGGGTGCGGCCACTGCCCCACAGCACGGAGCGCCATGCCGGCTGGAGAAGACGTGCTGGGGCAGGGGCTGCAGCGTGGCACCTCCCAGGCCCCCCACCAGCACTGAGCACCCTGAGGGAGGCCGGCTCTCCTTCACTCCACCGGGGCGCACTGTAGTGTCCCCCTGCTGTGGTTGAGGCAGAGCAGGTGAGAGGGAGAGGTGCCTTGCCCCGTGAGCCCCCCTTCCCACCCTCCCCCTGACATCTGGGCCCGCCACTGCCAGACCATGGGATGTCGGCAAAGCTCAGAGGAGAAAGAGGCGGCGCGGCGGTCCCGGAGAATCGACCGCCACCTGCGCTCTGAGAGCCAGCGGCAGCGCCGCGAGATCAAGCTGCTCCTGCTGGGCACCAGCAACTCGGGCAAGAGCACCATCGTCAAGCAGATGAAGATCATCCACAGCGGCGGCTTCAACCTGGAGGCCTGCAAAGAGTACAAGCCCCTCATCATCTACAACGCCATCGACTCGCTGACTCGCATCATTCGGGCCCTGGCCGCCCTCAAGATCGACTTCCACAACCCCGACCGGGCCTATGATGCCGTGCAGCTGTTCGCACTGACAGGGCCGGCAGAGAGCAAGGGTGAGATCACCCCGGAGCTTCTGGGTGTCATGAGGCGGCTGTGGGCCGACCCTGGGGCACAGGCCTGCTTTGGTCGCTCCAGCGAGTACCACCTGGAGGACAACGCCGCCTACTACCTGAACGACCTGGAGCGCATCGCTGCGCCCGACTACATCCCCACCGTCGAGGACATCCTGCGCTCGCGGGACATGACCACGGGCATTGTGGAGAACAAGTTCACCTTCAAAGAGCTCACCTTCAAGATGGTGGACGTGGGTGGGCAGAGGTCGGAGCGCAAAAAGTGGATCCACTGCTTCGAGGGCGTCACGGCCATCATCTTTTGCGTGGAGCTTAGCGGCTACGACCTGAGGCTGTACGAGGACAATCAGACGGTGAGTTGGGCCCGGCTCTTGATCTTGCGTGTTGCTGCTGCCATGGGCCTCTGGGAGCAGGTGGGCGCGTGTAGGGTACAAACATGTAGCTGTATGGTGCCCCCTGTGACGGGTGCTCCAGTGAGGGGAAGGTGTCCTGTGGGGAGCCTCCTACTAGGACATCCACCCCAGAGGGGACTGCTGGCTGGCAGGGTCATGCTGGGCGTTGGCAGGTCTCCTGTAAGTCCAGCTCTGTTCTTCATGGCAGCCTTGGTCTGCTTGAACCCGGGTGACCAGGCAGGTGATTTTGACCCCCTCTGAGTGACAGGCACAGGCCTGTAGGCTCCGGCCCCCATCAGCAGTGGCTGCCCTCTCAGTGGCCGTGGATGACACTCTCTTCCTCACGTCTGTGAGCCTTGTCAGCTTCAGCCAGAGTAGACCTCACCCCATGTGTGAAGTGCGCAGGCCTTAGAATCCACTGGATGAGAGAGGATGAAACCCAGCAGTACGTCCTATGCCAGTCCGTGTGGCAGACTAGCAAATCCATGATGCTCTTGAGTCAGAGTGGTAGGAGAAAGTGTAACCTCAGGGGGCTGGGGCCTGGGTCCTGATGGTGGGACCTTGGTGAGAGGAGAGGGTGGGGCCAGTGTCAGCATCCTATGGAGCTCTCAGCCCGGAAGTTGGAGGGCTAGAGCTCAGGGGCCCATAGTGGGATGGGGGTAGTCCAAGGGAAACCTGGACCCCATGCTACACAGGTCGGGGCGTGTGAGGGGAGTTGCTGTTGAGGCTGGCAGCCAGATAGAGAAAGGGCAGACAGCACCGTGCAAAGTTTCAGCAGAGGCAAAATACCAAACACACAAGGTTCCCACCATTATCTCAAGTACCCAGGAGTGGTAGCATGGAAGCCAAAGAGCCAGGCAGGGCCTGGCCAGGGCCATCCTGAGGCTGTGCTGCTCAGCCAAGGCCTTATGCCAGGCAGGAGCACTGAGCAAGAACCCAGAATCTGCCCCTTGACCTCTATGGAGCTGGAAGTGATCATGAATGCCCTGGGGTCCAGGGAACATAGTGTGTGTCCAGCTCAGGCACTTCCGAAACCAACAGCAGGGGCTTAATTCATGCAGTTGGCAGCTTTGTCCTTTGCATTCACCCAAGGGCTTTTGAGTTTGGACCGGTGGCCCCAAGGGATCCTCTGGCTGCAGTGCTGGGCACCTGAGCATTCTGGACAGAGAAAGGTCTGTGACTGCTCAGGTGGCCATGGGAGCCTGGCTGGATCTATGCCCAGGTGTTAAAGGTGTCCTCAGTCAGAGAGGCCCTGAGCCGTGACACCGTGTCCACAGGAGGCCGGGCTCCTGTGCACAGCCACCTGCACCCTCCGCCATGATTGGGAGCTGCCCCTCAGGTTCCAGCTCCTCAGGCTCCAGCAGCAGGTGAGCAGGTCAGGCCCCCTTGCAGAGGCGCCCTTGCAGGCACACGGTTGGGACTGGCCCACTGAGAGCAAAACGAGGTGCCCTGGTCTGCCAGCTCCCTGCAGCTGCTATTGGTACAGACCCTGGTGATTGACTCTCTGGGCTTCTGCCCATTCCTGCTGTGCCCAGAGGCTGGCAAGAACCCATACCCTGAGGGTTCTTGCCTGGCCGGAAGTGGGGGTGCATGACCAACTCTCTGGGCAGCCTGTGTCCATGGCGCCTATGTGGATGCCTGGGCCATATGTCTGGGCCCTGCGTAGCTCCTGGGTCTCTTGGAAAGCGTTGGCTGTCTCTGCTCCCTGAAGCTGTCATGGAGAAGGCTATAGGTGCCTCCCAGATGCCCGCTGCCTTGTGGCTGTGCTCCCTGCCCTGGCCATCATCGGGTCCTCGGTTCCTGCAGCACCACTCTGTCCAGCCTTGGTTTGTGACCATCCCTTTCTTTGACTGCTACTCCACGGCCCCATCCTTTGGGTCTTGTCCCAAGTGACATCTCCTTGGGAGGCTTCTCCAGCCCCAGCCTGGTGCCTGCACATTGCTCCCGCGCAGCCGTCCACTCCAGGCAGGGTCCACCCCCTTCATGCCTGATCTCTGGGTGGCTCTCCGTGGGACCTTGAGTGACACTCCCCAGCAGGCTCAGGGGTCTGTAAGGCCTGGGTCCAGGGTGTAAGGACATTTTCTGACTGTTGGGGTGGGGGGCCAGTAACAGCCAGCCTGAGCTCCTTTCCACCCCCCACCACTGTGGTCTCCACGGGCCTGGAGAAGCAACTTGTTCACCAGAAAAGGAAATTCCTAATGAGAAACCCAAGCGAGGCTGGAAATTCACTGGATTCCAAATGGATGTGACCTTTCATGCTCTACCAGCAATATCTGGGGATGGAAAACAAACAGGCTGCCGAGGAAAGACAATACCCTCCCGCGATTCCTCCCGGCTGGGGCCTGCCTGGCCGCGCCCTGCCCTCCCTCCAGCCCGGCCAGGGCTGCACAGCACGGGGCGCCAGCACAGACTGCCGGCCCTGCAAAAGGCCAGTCTGTCAACAACAGGCCTTGCTCCTTTTTTTTTTTTTGCCAAAGCTGAATGAACCTTGGGGCGTGGTGCCAAGGTTCTGGACGCAGCTCCTGCGTGTATGTCCTTCCTTGCTCAGCTCCCGAGGCCTTGTCTTCCCTCTGCCAGAGGCTGGCGGTGCCCCCCTACCCCACCCCCATGCCCGGCCCCCACCCCACCCGCCTGCCGGCTCCTGCGTCAGCACGTTGCCAAGGAGAGCGTCAGCATCTCTGAGCTCCCGGGTGTGAGGGCTGCAGCGAGTGCCAGGCAGTGCCTTGGAGGGGCGGAAGGCAGATTCCAGGGCGTCTGTGGACCATGGCAACAAAGGCGCAGGAGCTATGCCCGTCTCAGGCACAATTCTTACCCAGGAGTCAGTGGGCTGCCAGCCTGACCAAGGCCTCCAGTGCCCTGACCCCAAGGGGGCCACCCTACCCCTCAACCCCAACACAGCACAGGGGACTGGAACACAGCCCGAGCATACCGAGGCACCGCCTCCTTCACCCCCGCCCCCCATTTCTGTAGGGCAGCAGCAGCAACACTTATGGTCTGTGTCACAGGTGGAGGTACCAAGGCTCAGGCACAGGGGCAGTGTCAGCTACATGTCCACCCTTACTATACCCACCAGCACCGGGACAGCCCCAAAGACCTCGGGCTCCTCACGCAGCCCAGGGCTCTGCCCCTCTTCCAGAGTGCACTCTCAGTAGACAGACATGGGTCACTGGCTCCAGGAGGACTATGGAAAAGAGGAAGTAGAGGAACCAGCAGCTGTTAGCCCACAGAGAGGGACAAACGCAGGGGTTGACCAGAGGAGGCCCCTTGGGAGATAGGCCAGGACCTGAGCAGCACTGCCATCCCCAGACCTCTGACCCTTGTATTTGCAGATAGACTCAGCCGGCGCCAAATGGAGGGGGTCCTTCCCAGGGGCCAGATTGGAAGTGCCACGTGTCTCACATGGGAAACCTACAGGGAGCTCCCTGCCTATTTCTCAGTGGAGCTGTCAGCATCCCCAGCCCCATGGCAGGCCTGCTGTGCACCTGCTGTGCACCTGCTGTGCACCTGCTGTGCAGGTACAGGATCCAGGCTGGGGGCCAGGGCCTAGGGACAAAGAGGAACTGAGTCTGCTGGCAGCACAGAAGCTCAGGAGACAGGGACAGTCCGACCAGCACAGCCACATTTGGTCTCCACACACTCCCATGCTGCCAGGGCCACCTTGGCAGCAAACAGCTGTTCCCAGGGGTGGCCCCTGTTTTGCTTTCATCTGGAACCTACCGCAGCCAGCTGGACCACAGTATTGCTCACCAGGGGATGCCTGGTAGCCACACTGTTTTATCTGTAACACAGCTGGTCAACATGTGTCATGGATGATCCCCAGGGAGAACAGCAGGATAGGTGAGCAGGAGGCAAGTTCTGCAGGACCAGCCCACGGGCAGCCAGCAGCTGCACACTCCTGGCCCTTGTCCTGGACCCTCACATTCTGAGGGCAGGCCCAAGCCCTCGCTGCATGGCCTGTGCATGGCCAAACAGCCTGGCACGCACCAGGTGCTCAGGAGGCCAGCTGGCCTAGGTGGAGCCTGGGTTGCAGGCTCCTGGCTGCTGGATATGAGGCTGCTGGGACCACCCCCACCACAGCAGTGGGCTTATCTCCTGCCCCGCCTAGCTCTGGGGTTTGCCTGAACAGACGGCTTGCTCAGTGCTTTAAAAATGGAATTCAAACCGTTGTATCCTAGACTGATGTGTTAAGGGTAACAGGGGTTCCACAGTAGTAAGATGGACTTTCACGTTTTGATCACGGAGCCAGTTATATCTTCCCAAAGGAAGAGATTACAGTCTGGAGACAGCCAGGTGTGGGCACCGCCACCACTCTTCCCCCCACTACACACATGTCCTTCACTGTCCCCAATCAGCACTGCCCCCCAACACATGTCCTGTCCTTCACTGTCCCTAACGAACCAGCTTGCAAGTAAGCAGCTGAGGCTCGGAAAGGTCCCGTCAGTGTCCCAAGGCTCTGCCTCCTGGGCATTCCAGCAACCCCCTGCCTATCCAGGCATCCAGACAACCTCTGACCTCTGGGTGCGGGGTGCTCCAGAGATGGCCTCGGGGGTTGTAGAGTGGGCTCCACTCTGAGCTGCCATGTGGGAAGGACAGAAGACACTCACAGCAAGCCTTGGGAAGCAGGAGTGGCCATCAGGGCTGGCAGTGCCCGCTGCCTCCCCAGCCCAGTCTGGCAGGGCCACAGGGAGCCCCAACAGGGCATAAGCCCTGCTCCTAACCTGGCTGAGAACACAGCTTGAGCAATACTGCCTCTGCCAGAGACTGGCATCAGCTTGCTGCGTGCCCACCGCCCTTCCCTTGCCAGGTGCTCGTGTCCCAGCAGCTCCTTCTGATCCTGTGATGCTCCAAGGCCCCATGTGGTTTGTCTGTGACAGCTACAGATCATCATGCCCCCCAGGAAGTGCTGGCCTCCTAGAGCAGGGCCAGCAAAGAGGGCTGGAGGCAGCCCAGCTCGAAGGGGT